CAAAGACTTTGTGAGCTCTGTGAGTCCCCAGCAGATATCATTCATGTCTTCCTACAGATCATGACTGACACCTGGCATTAGTTCTCCTTTCCTACTGAGTGTTTGGATGGGATGTGGAGGCAAAATTCATCCCCTCCCCTCTCCCCTACCCTTTTTATTTTTATTTTCTGTCTCTCCAATACTTATTTTAGTTTGCTCTCTGCCCTTCCATCCCTAATTCTGAGATTTCTTTTCTATTCTAGCAGGTTATGGGATGGTGGACAAGAACAAAGTGCAGAATCCTCAGCAGGAAGATGCTGAGCAAGTGGAAGCATGTGGGGCACTATCACAAAGATCCAAAGGTAATGTGTCCAGTAGTCATGAATGCGAGAAAGCCTGTGAAAGTCACCACAGGCCAGAGAGATATCAGGGAAACCAGACACAGGAGAAAGTGGATGAACCCATTAATTTTCAAGGAACTCACAGGGAACTCAAAGAAACCACATCCCAGGCAAAAATCCTCAGGGTAGAGAGAGAGAATACATGCAGCGAGTGTGGGAAAAACTTCAGATACTGTTCAGCCCTCATTCGACATAAGATCATGCACACAAAAGACAGACCCTATGAATGCTTCACTCAGAGCACATTCCTTATTATGCATCAGAAAATACACAGAGGAGAGAAACCCTATCAATGCTATGAGTGTGGGAAAAACTTCACTAACAGCTCAGCACTTATAACCCATCAGAGAATCCACACAGGTGAGAAACCCTATCAATGCAGTGACTGTGGGAAAAGGTTCTCTCGGCGCTCAGTGCTTATTATCCACCAGAGAATCCACACAGGTGAGAAACCCTATCAGTGCTGTATATGTGGGAAAAGCTTCACTAACAGCTCAACGCTTATTACTCATCAGAGAATACACACAGGTGAGAAACCCTATAAATGCTGTGAATGTGGGAAAAGCTTCATTCGTAGCTCACACCTTGCTATACATCAGAAAATCCACATGAAAGAGAGACCCTATGAATGCAGTGACTGTGG